AAATAAGTTTTCACAACTAAAATACCAAGTTAAATGCGGGAAAATCCTGAAATAAATTCTAACATCTAGAAAGCCCAAAATATAATATACTATTCAGCCCATAGAATCTGGTGTCACAAGTCTGAGCCTCTAATGCATGAATATTAACCTACTACATAATGTTTCTCTAGAAATGTGGAAAACAAATAAATAAAATAGAAAGAAGATCAGGATTGCGAACGCCAATTTGCAGCTACCTTGAATCTCCCGAATGTGATGCTAGGCAGAGAAAGATCTCACTCAGCCTCAGTGGGTGCGCCTGAATCTGCACACAAGGTGCAGGGAGTAATGTGAGTACTTCCAACCCAGAAAGTAATAAACATAAATACAGTCTGAGAATAAGAAATCCTAAATAGGCACAAAGTGAAGTTATAAACACAGCAACATGAACCAGTAGCATAATACAGTAAAACAGTGAAAACAATTATAGAATTATCACATCGGAATAAATAATAAATGATAATTAAATATGCAATGCAACACATAAACCGATACTCTCCAGTACCCGCTGCGGCGTGCAGCCCGCTCCATTTATTTATCGTCGACGGCGCTCACTGGGGGTGTGCAGACTCCGAGAGGGGCACCTTACGGCCCAAGCGCAATAATAAGCCATATCGTGACATCAAACAGGCCCTCGGCCTCATATCAATATCAATATCAATATCATACCGCTGCAGCGGGCAGCCCGATCCCATACTCAGTCCAAAATCACATAAGCCCCTCGGGCACAATAACATAAAAATATTCAGCCCAAACTTCATTTTAAAATATTAATTTAGTTTCTACTTTGAGAAAAAAATGGCTGGGTTTACAAAACAGTATTAAATACCAGGACTGAGTTCAATATTTATAATTATGATAAGAAACCAGTAAAATAATCCCTGAAGGATTCAAGTAGTTGGCACAAAGCCCAATTATGACAGTTAATCCATTTTTATAAGGATGTTACTAATCTACAATCAATTAGGTAGTAATTTTATTAAGCGGGACGGACCAAGTAACAATCCCCGACGGTGCTCTACCCCACGCCCGTTATCCGGCGTGCAAGTCACCTCACATAGCACTACATTGTGCAAATTCGGGGTTTCAAACCCTCAACACAGCATTTACATTTATTACTAACCTCAAGCCGGCCAAAGTCCTAGCTTGCTATGCCTTTGCCTTTCGAATTAACCTCCTCGCGTATCGAATCTGATCAAAACCACAACGAATACATCACAATATGCTAATGGGACAATACCCGATCGAAAACAATCGAAAAATAGTAAAATTCCCGAAATTAGCAAAAACCCGAGCCCCGGGCCCACTTCTCGAAAATCAGTAATTTTACCATCAACGGAATCCTTATCTCGCCACGAGTCTATACATATAAAGAACACCAAAATCGGAGTCCAAATGACCCCTCAAATTCCCATTTTTTTCTCTCTTAGGTTTCAAGCCCTAACCTCCATTTTTGACCTTTAATTCCTTGATTTTTCAGTCTAAATTCATGTATTTGCATCATAAAATCGTGTTCTAAGTCCAAGAATTCTTACCTGATCGAAGTCCTTGAAACCCTCTTCAAAATCGCCCGAGAGTCCGAAGTAAAAATATGAACTCTTTTGAAATTTCGCGAAGGAATTAAAACTCCTTTCTGATCAGTTGTTTCCGCATCTGCGGTACAATTGTCGCTTCTGCGGCTTCCGCTCCTGCGGCCTTCTTCCGCTTCTGCGGAAATTCTCAAAGTCCCAAGGTCCGCTTCTGCGACCTCATTCCCGCATCTGCAGCTTCGCAGATGCGGCTCCTCCAACCGCTTCTGCGGAAACAACACCCGGGCCAAATATTGCTTCTGCGATCCTCCCTTCGCTTCTGCGTGACCGCACCTGCGGTCCCACAACCGCAGGTGCGAAAATACCAGATACCAGCAGACCTTAACCATGCAAAAATTCTGAAACTCTCCGTTTAACCATCCGAACTTAACCCGAGGCCCCCGGGACCTCAACCAAAAACACAAACATGATTCAATGACTTATTCAAACTTGCTCCAATCATCAAAACACCTCAAACAACACTAAAACCATCATTTCTCATCGAATTCAAGCCTAAGTTCTTCCAAAACTTCCGAAACACGCATTCGATCAAAAACCCAACCAAAACACTTCCGAATGACCTGAAATTTTGCACACACATCCCAAATCACCTAACGAAGCTACTGCAACTCTCGGAATTCCATTCTGACCCTCGGATCAAAATCTCACCTATCGACCGGAATTTGCCAAAATTCTAAATTTGCCAATTCAAGCCTAATTCTACTCCGGACCTCCAAAATCACTTTTGATCACACTCCTAAGTCACAAATCATCCCCCGAAGCTAACCGAATCATCGAAATTCATATCCGAGCCCTCTAACACAAAAGTCCACATCCGGTTGACTTTTTCCAAAACAAGTCTTCCTTAAAGAGACTAAGTGTCTCATTTCCTTCCAAAAATCAACCTAATTCAACTTGTTCACACAAGCCACTGATAATGAAGCATAACGAAGCAGGAAATGGGGGAAACGGAGCGGTTCTCATGAGAACGGGTCGGGTCGTCACATAATACCACCATTAAAAGGAAAAAAAACTAAAGAAAATGTGCCAAAGTACAAGTTACACCACAATCTACATAGTATCTCTAACAAATTTCATAAATCCTTCAAGGTTCGGAGGAAGTTCCGTTGGTGGTGGCGGAAAAGAAGCTTGTTCATCACCGCTTCCGGGCGAATCAGCATCCTCCGCAAGTTCCGCTATCATTTCTTCATAAGCTTCGTCTATCTCCGGTTGTGATTCTGCAAGTCCAAAATTTCTTTTTTCCGAGCGGATCCAATCTCTGAAGAGTACTGATTTCCAAGCTCTCTCTCATAGACGCTCTATGATCACCTATTTGAAGTCTTGCTTGACTGAAAGCGCTCTCTGATGCCACTGTTGAAGCTTGAATACATAAAATATCCCGAGCCATCCTTGCAAGAACCGGAAAATGTTTTTCTCTGGCCTTCCACCATTCCAAAAGATCAAAGGTGCCGTCTGGATTCTCCTTTTCAAGGCCCTGCGACAAATAAACTTGAAATTCATTTAGATGTGAAGTATCATCAATATTATCACCTTGAGAACCCTATGAACTCCGTCCAAGAACTAAGTGCTTTTAGGCCCGCAGTTCTTTTAGATGATTGTGAACTAGACGAAGTAGGAGTTGGAACATTATCCATAGAAATTGACATTATTTTATCTCTAATGCAAAAATGTCTACAAATATCTGCAACTGTGTTAGCAATAAGCTTAACTGTGTGACGTGAATTAATTATTCTATAAATAATAATGCGTTTTTGCATTTTCCATTCTTCATCAATCTAATGAGTAGTTACGGTAAGATAAGCACAGTCATTACCACTTCTACCAATATCAGTGATAATAGCAATCCGACAATCTATATGAGTAAATAAATACCGCAAATATTGTTCATATTCATGTTTATATTTATAAATATCGCTCTTTACGGTTGCGCGAGGCCAACCTTTATAAGTAGGATTAAAAACTCTTCTAATATAATGCACAAAGTGAGGGTTAGAAGGAAAACTATAGGGTAAGCACATAACAGTAACCATTTTTGCTAATTCTTCACGATCTTTATTTGGATCGTAACATAAAATGCCACCGGTCACAGTGTTAATTCCTGGTTGAACTACATTTGAACCTGTACTAGGGTTAACCGTAGTATCTGCACTTGTCCCCTCTAGCTGCGCTTTCATTTGTAAAAATCTAGCTTTATCTCTAGGGTGTTTCTTTATGTGTCTAGTCAAACTACCCGTACCGCTACGGTCTCCAGTAAATTTATGCGCCAGCAAACCCCCACAAGTTTTACACTTAGCCTTATTTTGTTCTCTTAATTGAGTAAAAAAGTTCCAAACAAGTGATGTTTCGGGGCGTTTAGAAGGTTGTCTATTAAAAGTAGGGGTTTCTACAGGTGGGTCGGGCGGGGCATCAGTTGGGTTATTAGCAGGACTAGTAGGTGTATCATCTAAATCCGGTTGGGTTTCATCTGCATCATCCTTTTCCTCATCATTTTCAAAGATAGTTTCATTAGGATAAAGAGCATTCATAACTTCTTCATTTAATTGTTGACCTGGCGCAACATCATGGCAAAATTCACTATCGGAAAATTGAAAACAAGGGTTATCACTATCAAGACTAATAGGTAGAGGAGGACGGGTGACAGGTCTGGGTCGGGGAGCCGGGGGAAGGGTAGTAGCTTGGCGACTAGATTCACCAATTTTAGATTTTCCCTTACCACCAAATATTTTTTTCAAAGAAAAGACCATATTAATTATAATTATACAAACTAAAACAAACAAAACTATATTCTTAAAACTTAAGAGTTGGAACGAGTTTACCGAATTGACGAACAACTTCTTGAAAATTGAAAATCGTTGAAGACTTGAATACTTCAATTCACCAACTTCACAATTTTTCACGAAATTGCAATAATAAAGTAAGCAATTATAGAAGAAAATTAGATATAGATTGAGAGAGATTGATGAATTTGTAAGTAAAAATGAAAGAATGAGGGGTATTTATAGTTGAGAATTCGGAAAAAGTGTAATTATATAAAGTTTGGGGGCTAAATGACTATTTTTTAAACTCCCAAACGGTTAGAATTTGATGGCCAACGGCTAGATTTTAAAAATCTGACCGTTGGTCATTTAAAAAAAAAAATTTAAAAAATAGCCGTTGAGGCCCGTTTGGCCCGGTTGAACCGGCCCAGGCCCGCCTGCCGGTCCCGAGCTTAGTGATCCCGGGCTCGTGGGCTATTTGGGTAGAACCGGCCCGCTACGGGCTTAATGCACCATTTGAAACCGGCCCACTGAGACTGGCCCGTTTGGCCCGCGGTCCCGGGCCGGTTCCGGGCTGGGCCCGGCCCACAGTACACTCTTACCGTTTAGCCGCAGTTTTGTTCTGGAACGGCCACGTGTTAAACTGGCAGGTCAATCATCTGTAGCAGTGAACCAAAGCACTCTCCCTCAATCTTTCAAATGGCATGGAGGTTCGCATTCGCACCACCTCTTCAACCTTCTCTCCTCACTATAAAATTCAACCCCCCAAACTCCTTTTCCATTTTTGGCAAATCTCTCAAATCTTCTATGCTCGAGAGACTCCTCATTTCTTCCTCATCTCGCTACTGCTTCTCCAAAAAACCCATCAAATTCCACTTGCTTAATACTACTCCCTTTTTTCGTCGGCACATTCACTCTCTGAGTGTTCTTGCCATGGCTGAACAGTCATCATCCAGCAGTTCTTCCCAGGCGGCCCATAAGCATAACAATCGTCTTACCTCTGAACATAGTCCTTATCTTCTTCAGCACGCCCATAATCCGGTATTCAATATTACTACTATACTACTTTTTAAATTTCGAGGACTAATAAAAATTGTCGAATCCCCAAATTGATTTTGGGATTTTGGATTGAGGTGTAGTTGATAGTGAGAGTCTGGGGGCTGTTTGATGGAATGTTTAATTTTGTTATTAAACTAAAGGAAGGGAAATTTTATGCCTTCTATTCTCTGCACTAACTTTGTTACTTTGTTCTTGATGGGAAGGTTGATTGGTATCCATGGGGTGAGGAGGCCTTTGCTGAAGCTCGCAAAAGAGATGTCCCTATCTTTTTGTCAAGTCAGTAACTTTTTGTGATTCATTATATTACTCACTATTCCTGCATACTTTCCTTTATAGTCTGATCCATAGTTTGTCCCAAACAAAATGTCACCTTCCAAATGTCACCTATTTTAGACCATAAGTCTGAAAGTCCTTTTTTAAAGACTCCGCGCACATAAATTGATATGGATGGAGCTTTGTGATTTTTGCAGTACCCCCTTTCAGTCTTTTTTTTTTTTCTTTCTTATTCCAAATGATTCAATTATGATTTTCTAAAAGCTAATATTGAAATCTTTTCATGCTGTATTTTGGTCATGGATTGGATGGTGCTTGCCATGTCACGTTTGAAGTTGGTTACAGCACGTGTCATTGGTAAGTTTTTGTTTTTTTACATGGAGTGTCTAGAAATTAATATAGTGGAAGACTAATGCTTTATTAATTAATAAGGTGTCATGTCATGGAAGTTGAATCTTTTGAAGATGAAGAGGTGGCCAAGTTGCTAAACGATTGGTTCGTTAGCATCAAGGTGAGACGCGTGAGCTACATTTAGCTAGTTGTCTATAATCTTCAAACTAATAAACATTTCGTTACCTTTACTTGTATGTGTACAGGTTGATAGAGAAGAGCGTCCAGATGTTGACAAGGTAAAAACTCTCATTGAATTATGCTCTGGTTGATCGCCTTTCTAGTTGATTCCACTGGATTAGATTTGTTCCATTCAACTTGCGTTGCTATTTTGACGTATGCTGTTGTATTTTGGTTTATTGGATACGCTCAGTGTTGCTCTTGGTATGGAATCTTGTTCTTTGCAAATAAGTTGCTGTCATCACTTTCTTGCCTTTGGTTATGTGATGAACAAAGTACACACTGAATTTAGTTGACTAATATTAGTTTCTTAATGATTGTTTGATTTGTAATGTCCAAAGGTGATGCTATCCGCAATGAGTAGCCTAACTTTGTTATATTCTCAGGTGTACATGACATATGTGCAAGCTTTATATGGTGGTGGCGGTTGGCCACTAAGCGTCTTTCTTTCACCTGATTTGAAGCCCTTGATGGGTGGGACTTATTTTCCTCCTGAAGACAAATATGGAAGGCCAGGATTTAAAACTATACTTAGGTGTGCACATTCTCTACTTTCAGATTAAGCTGTTCAACATGAACTTCTGCTGCACTTTAAATATGCGTGGAATTCCTTTTTGAGCTCAAAGTTCTGAGTATTTCGTGTATGCTTCCGTCTTTCTTGCTTAGGAAAGTGAAGGAAGCGTGGAACAGCAAGAGAGATATGCTTGTCCAGAGTGGGGCCTTTGCAATAGAACAATTATCGGAGGCAATGGTGGCAGTTGCTATATCAAATAAACTTTCAGATGAGGTTCCGCAAATCGCACTGCGTAAATGTGCTGATCATGTAAGATTTTCCGTAAATACGTGAGTTGTCTTTTGTATGTGCTGGCAACCTGTCTGTTTGGAGTTACTTACAAGAAAAGCCACATTTGATGCTTGAGAGAGACCTATTGCATCCTCCTGTCTCTTCTTTACTGCTGCTATTCAAAGTACTTCAGAATTCGTCAGCTTCTCATGATAGATATTGCCCCTTTTTCTCGATGGTAATTGGCCATGAGAAAAGGAGCAATATATTTCATGAGAAGCTGACCCGCAAACCTCAGGGTGCTAAGTCTCTGTCTGACTTCATAATTTGACATCTTTGCTTGTTCATCTGAATGCTACTCTTAAGGATTAATTATCTGTGAATGATGATGGTCTAACATCCACATGTTCCCTGCATATTCTGCAGCTAGCAGAAAGCTATGATTCAAATTGAGTTGTCTTTTGTATGTGCTGGCAGCCTGTCTGTTTGGAGTTGCTTACAAGAAAAGCCACATTTGATGCTTGAGAGAGACCTATTGCATCCTCCTGTCTCTTCTTTACTGTTGCTATTCAAAGTACTTCAGAATTCGTCAGCTTCTCATGATAGATATTGCCCCTTTTTCTCTATGGTAATTGGCCATGAGAAAAGGGGCAATATATTTCATGAGAAGCTGACCCGTAAACCTCAGGGTGCTAAGTCTCTGTCTGACTTCATAATTTGACATCTTTGCTTGTTCATCTGAATGCTACTCTTAAGGATTAATTATCTGTGAGTTGTTAATGATGATGGTCTAACATCCACATGTCCCCTGCATATTCTGCAGCTAGCAGAAAGCTATGATTCAAATTATGGTGGTTTTGGTTCTGCACCCAAATTTCCACGGCCAGTTGAGATGCAATTGATGCTTTACAGCTCAAAGAGGTCTAGGGAGACTGGAAAATCAGATGAATCCAAGAATGCTCTAAAAATGGTCTTGTTCACTTTAGAATGCATGGCGAGGGGTGGTATCCGTGATCATGTTGGAGGTGGTTTTCACAGATACAGTGTGGATGAATGTTGGCATGGTGAGGTAAATTATTATGCATGTATTGTGATATTTAATTTTAATTCTCGTTCAATTGATGTGTTCTTTTCCTGCTTCTTGCAGTTCCACATTTCGAGAAAATGTTATATGATCAGGGTCAACTTGTTAATGTCTATCTCGATGCTTTTTGTATCACAAAGGATGTGTTTTATTCAAGCTTGTCTCGTGATATCCTTGACTACTTGAGGAGGGATATGACTGGTTCAAATGGTGAAATATTTTCGGCTGAAGATGCTGATAGTAATGAATCTGAAGGTGCATCACGGAAAAAGGAGGGTGCTTTCTATGTCTGGACTAGCACCGAGGTACTTATCACTGTTGTTTTTACTGTCAAATGTTTGAATTAGTATCATTTCTGTTTTGTTGTTTGAAGTTCGAGTTCCAGACATGTATGAATCAGCAATTGCTGGCTAACATCTTCTCAACAATATATATGGAATGGATATGCGCCAGATGTTGTTGGCATAGGCCTCCAGCTTATATTGTGTCTTGATATTTGCCCCACACCATGTTTATTTAATGTTGCAAATCTTTATAGTTTGGATAAAGCTCAGATATGCTTTTGGCAAATGACAGTATTTTGATATGGTATAGCAATTTTGAGGTCAGCTTGGCTCATAAAAGTGGAACATTGAATTGTAACTTAAAATCTGAGTTGCTCAATAAATTAGATTTCATCAAATAAGTGGAACTAATCAGTATCCTATTTGTGCATCATGGTTAGATTATTCACGGGAAGTGTCTGAAATAAAGTGGCATGGAGGATCAACAGCCCAGCCTACTTGTAAGTTGAAGATTGGACACATCAAATTTTTATGCCAATCTCAACTAAATCCAAATTTTGCGGATCCTTTTCTTTAACCAAATTTCAAATTAGGTAATCCCACCAAGTAGCTCTTCTGGCCAAATAGTTTGCATAAGTGCTGTTTATTCTCAGCTGCAGTTGTGGAAGGCATCATCAACTTCAAAAACAGTCCAGTCGTCAAGCATGTTAGAACTATTGGATCAATGCTTAGCCCAATCCACATATAGGAAGCCAGTTTTAACAACATTGTAGCCTTGTAAGACATGATTCCATGCATTTCTGGTTAGTAAAAAAAAGGAGGAAAACATTTTTTTTTCAAAAAAATAAGGATAAAAAGAGGAAAACAGAAAATACATACCGCGAAAACTACTTGTGTGACACTATTTTCTGCCTAGCATTGAGCTTGAGTGCATTGACTTGGTTCCATCTTTCTGAAGGTTGACAACATTGTTGGCGAGCACGCAACGCTTGTCAAGGATCATTACTATGTAAAACCCTCAGGTAATTGTGATCTTTCAAGGAGGAGTGATCCACATAATGAATTCAAGGACAAAAACGTGCTAATAGAAAGAAGTAGTACCTCTGCAATGGCATCAAAACATGCTTTGCCTGTCGAGGAGTATCTTGATATCCTGGGGAATGCTCGCCGGAAACTTTTTGATGTGAGGTCGAAACGCCCCCGACCGCATCTGGATGATAAGGTATATTTTCTGTCGCCAATGTGTTTATTTATTTCTTCATTATGTTTAGTGTGATGAGTGATCTATTGTTATAGGTTATTGTATCATGGAATGGACTAGTGATTTCATCTCTCGCCAGGGCGTCAAAAATCCTCAAGGGAGAACCTGAGGGAACAAGATTCTACTTTCCTGTGGCAGGCACGAATGTAAGATTTCAGAGCCATCTTTGACTTTCAGAGATGGATTAGTAGTCTCATAAATGCATGACAATTGTACTGTCAGTAGACATGCTGAATCCTAGAGTGGTGGTAGTAAAAATTTTGTTAAGCAGTTGATATTTCAGTATGTTTATTGAAATGTAGATACTCATTGTCCTCCAATGCTGTATGTCTCTGAACCGTGATCATTGGTGCATCACTGGCTTGATACCCATGTTTACTCCTTAGCTTGTGTTTGTTTTAAACTTTCATTATTGCAAAGCATTTTGACACGTCTGATAAGGTACTGGTGGTGGGGTTGCCTTCTCGGTTGACTCGTTATTGTTTTTCCTTGTCATATTCAGCCCAAGGAGTACATGGATGTTGCTGAGAAAGCAGCATATTTTATCAGGAAATACCTTTATAATCAACAGACGCGTAGGCTGCAGCACAGCTTTAGGAATGGTCCTTCCAAAGCACCTGGATTCCTAGATGACTATGCATTTTTAATAGCAGGTCTACTGGATCTTTATGAGTTCGGTGGTTCAGTCTTCTGGTTGGGTTGGGCACTCGAACTTCAAGAGACCCAAGTAAGGAATTTTTTGATCTTTTGGTGAATGGGACAAGTTCTTATTACTGTTAAACTATTTCTTGCAGGACGAGTTATTTCTCGATAAAGCTGGAGGAGGTTACTTCAGCACAACTGGTGAAGATCCTTCTGTTCTTCTCCGTCTGAAAGAAGATCATGATGGAGCAGAGCCTTCAGGGAATTCTGTTTCAGTGATTAATCTAGTGAGATTTGCCTCTATGGTTGATGGTGACAAATCCAAACATTACAGAGAGACTGCAGAACATGTTCTGGTTTGCCTTGAACTTTCTGCATCTTATGTTGATTATATTATCCATGTATTGTTGCCAGTAAGTTTGTAACCTTTGCATTTGATAGGCGGTTTTCGAAAAGAGGTTGAAAGATGCAGCTGTTGCTGTGCCACTGATGTGTTGTGCAGCAGACATGTTGGCTTTTCCTTCCAGAAAGCAAGTAGTTGTAGTTGGACAGAAGTCTTCTGAGGAGTTCGAAAACATGGTTGCTGCTGCTCATTCAGCATATGATCCTAACAAGACGGTAAGCACTTTCCTTGCAGGAGCTAACCTTCATATCACATTGTACATTGCTGAATTTTGCTTCTTACTAGTACTGATTCTAATTAGGTTATTCACATCGATCCAACTGATTTGGAAGAGACAAGATTTTGGGAAGAAACTAACGGAAATATTGCTTTGATGGCGAAAAACAATGCTGCTGCGGACAAATTAATTGCCCTGGTTTGTCAAAACTTCGCATGTAGTCCTCCAGTCAGTGACCCGAAATCTCTTGAATCATTGCTCTCGCAGTAAATACTAAAAGCTTTGGTTTAGAGTAGTTCAAGGGTATATACATAGAGCTGTCACCAATAAGGTTCTGCTATGGTGGCTCTGTTGTCTTGCGAACCAAGTGTACTATAGTTCATTAGCTTTGGCTAAGGGTTAGTTCAAAGATATGTGTACATAACAAACCAGATACTGAGATCAGATGTTAGTTTAATGAATGTGCTACAATAGGGTTCTGGTGTGGTGGTTCTTTTTTCATGTTAGTAAACACTTAAGTTGTGTCTAGTACTGCAATATTTTTCCATTGATAGTGCTAGAGAGGAGTATTAAATTTGTAACTTTAGACTTGTTCAAGTAAATATTAATAGTTTATGTCTATTAAATAGTTTTACATTGTGATACCCTATTTTAATCAAATACCTATGAGATTCTAGCATAATGTGTAAGAATTTCATGCTGAAGTTCCAACATAATATGTTGGAAGTTTATATGCATGAGCTCCATAATCCACTATATTATGTTAGAACTTTTCGTGTTTCACCAAGGTGGTGGCTATTTTTAAATGACTTTGCAAACGCTAGCTATTTTTCAGTTGCCAGTCCGCAAATGATTAGCCCGAGCTATTTTCACCAAACAATCTCTAGGTTTACTAGTAGAAGTAAAGCACGGGCTCAACATTGCAATTACATACCTATACACTATTGGAAACTTTATTATCCTCCCTATTCAAGTTTCACTTTAATTATCTTCTATATACAAAATTACCAATTATGTATATTTTTAGGATTTAAGGATAATTAATCAATTCCTACAATCAACGTAACGTACAAATCTCACTCCCCCTACGTTTCTCTCTCCGTATCCCCACTCCCCCCCCCCCCCCACGTTTCTCTCTCCATACCCCCAGCGTATCTTCATTATCTTCTACCATTAACGTCTGTTTTCACTCTTCTTTTAAAAATTCCTCTGCAATTTTAATCTCTTCTTCAAAATCCCTATCTATTTTTACATATTCCAACCCTAAATACTCTACCAAAATTGTGGTTGCTTAAATTTTTGCTTAATTTTCAATGAAGAAGAAAACATTCTCGAAGATTAGCCCTGAAAAAAGCTAAAGTAAGTGATATTCCTACTTTTGATTTGGGTGTTTGCTCACAGGATTCACCCAAAAAAGTTTCAAAATCGGAACATGCAAAAGCAGATACCAAGCCCAGGCTTTCCCCTCGTGAAGCTAGGACAGAAGCTCGAACAAAACAAAAGCACGATAGGGATGTTGGTGAAGCCTCGACGTTTGTTAAATCTGTAAAACGGAAGGGCAAAGAAATTGCTTCCGATGATGATTTTGTCGAAGAAGAAGTTATCACGAAAGTTGAAAAAAAAAAAAGCAGAGTTTCTCTTAATGTTAAACCTTCAAAAAAGAAGAAGGTTCAAAAATCAGCTAAATCTGTACCCCAACAGTCATTGGAGAAGGTACAATTTCAGTAGTTTTAATTTTTTTATGTTTTTTGTAAAGCTAAAAAACTTGTTCTCCTTCTCGTGAACATACATAATTTTGTGTTTTTGTATTTGTAGATATTTTGTCTACATTGTGTAGATTTGTTGTAGGTTAACAAATTTTCTTCGTGTGTTGTCTTCTTGTAGATATTTTGTAGTATAAATGTAGTTATATTATTATCTGGTTTTGAAACAAGTTTATTAACTTGTTGTTTCTTTTGCTACAGAATCGAAAGTTTTTTGCACCACATGATTTTGATTATGGCATCACCAGGTTCCAGACATTATGCAACCCTACTATTCCTGGCCGAATCAAGGATTTACTGTCTGAAAAAGGGTTGAAGCTGTTCAAAAAGACATGTTTTGGGTATTTTCTTTCCTTGCCAAAAATATGTATCCAAAATCAAGCAATTCACCTTCTTATGAAGTATGAATTGAATGAATCTGGTTCCGACTTTTTTACAGTAGAGATAAAGGGTGAGAGGTTGAATTTTGGGTTGAGAGAGTTTGCCCTGATTAGTGGCCTTAGATGTTTTACAGAAGTGACGGACTTTGGTTACACAACTACGTATGACAGTAAAATAATGAGGAGCTATTTCCCGAACAAGGAAAAAGTTGAGAAGTCATACTTGAAACAAATTGCAACCAGCCGTAGTTGGGTCAATGATGAGGATGCAGTCAAGCTGTATATTCTCTATCTCATCGAATTCTTCATATGTCCTTCAAACAAAGAGAATTTAGGTTTAATATATCATTTTAGGTTCTACTTGGTGGGCTCGGGTGTGAACTACGCATGTGGTATCCAATCTTATACACATTTGCTTGAGTACGTTAGGCACAAGATCAACCCTTCTGTAGATTTTTATCTCAATCGAGGTTTTGGACTAGCTATGCAAATATGGTTGTATGAGTGTTGCTCTACGGTCAACGCAGATATAGCTACAAGATTTGCTAATTCGATCCCCCGCATACTGAACTGGACAACTAATAAGGACAAGATATGGTTATCTGCATTGAAAGATAGAATGATCAAACAATCATGGATCAAAGTGAATGTTTTTCACTTCTGCGCACACAATTTAATACAAATTATCTACAAATTAATACATATTATGAGTAGGTCTCTCACATAAGCACCAGAAGAGCTTTCAAGAATGCATTTGCTAGATAAAGTTGAATAGATCCTTCTAAAAGATGAAATAAAGTCCGAGCATCCGACAAATTCTCCATCTCCATTCGGCCATAAGCAGACAATTCGATCTCAACTGACGAACCTGCCGGTCTAGAATAGCTACCGGCTCCTCCTCATAGGACAAGTCCTTGTCCAACTGGACAGTGCTGAAGTCTAACACGTGGATGGATCGCCGTGATACTTCCGAAGCATAGACGCGGTGCACAACTGATAAGCTCGGCGGCAACGCAAGTCTGTAAGCCACCTCTCCCACTCGGCCAAGAATCTCAAAAGGACCAATGAACCTAGGGCTTAGCTTGCCCTTCTTTCCAAATCTCATCACGCCCTTGGGCGACACCCGGAGCAACACTCGCTCCCGACCATGAATGCCACATCACGAACCTTGCGGTCGGCGTAACTCTTCTGCCTGGACTGAGCTGTACGAAGCCTATCCTGAATGATCTTCACCTTATCCAAGGCATCCTGAACTAAATCTGTACCCAACAACCGAGCCTCTCCCGGCTCAAATCACCCAACCGGCGACCGACACCACCTACCATATAATGCCTCATAGAATGCTCGATTGGTAGCTGTTGTTGTAGGCAAACTCTTCTAGTGGCAAGAACTGATCCCAAGAACCTCCAAAATCAATAACATATGCCCTGAGCATATCCTCCAAAATCTGAATAGTACGCTCGGACTGTCCGTCCGTCTGAGGATGAAATGATGTGCTCAACTCGACCCGCGTACCCAACTCACGCTGAACTGCCCTCCAGAAATGTGAGGTAAACTGCGTACCCCGGTCAGAAATGATAGACACGGGCACACCATGAAGACGAACAATCTCCCGGATATAGATCTCAGCCAACCGCTCCGAGGAACCGAAAACTGCCACAGGAATGAAATGCGCTGACTTGGTCAGCCTATCAACAATAACCCATACTGCATCGGACTTTCTCTGAGTCCGTGGGAGTCCAACAACAAAGTCCATAGTGATCCACTCCCACTTCCACTCAGGAATCTCAATCTTCTGAAACAAACCACCAGGTCTCTGATGCTCGCACTTTACCTGCTGACAATTCAAACACCGAGCTACATAGGCAACAATATCCTTCTTCATCCTCCTCCACCAATAATGCTGCCGTAAATCCTGATACATCTTAGAGGCGCCCGGATGGATAGAATACCGGGAACTATGGGCCTCCTCTAGAATAAACTCACGAAGTCCATCCACATTAGGCACACAAATACGACCATGCATCCTCAAGACTCCATCATCTCCAACTGTAACCTGCTTGGCACCTCCGTGCCGCACTGTGTCTCTAAGGACACATAAATGAGGATCATTATACTGCCGATCTCTGATACGCTCAAATAATGAGGAACGAGCGACTCTGCAAGCTAACACGCGGCTGGGCTCAGAAACATCCAACCTCACGAACTGATTGGCGAAAGCCCGAACATCCAAAGCAAGCGGTCTCTCACCGACCGGAATATACGCAAGACTACCCATACTGGCTGACTTTCTACTCAAAGCATCGACCACCACATTGGCCTTCCCCAGATGATATAAGATGGTGATATCATAGTCTTTCAACAGCTCCAACCACCTCATCTGCCTCAAATTTAGTTCCTTCTGCTTGAACAAATACTGCAGACTCTTGTGATCCGTGAAAACCTCACATGACACGCCATACAAATAGTGCCTCCAAATCTTCAGCGCGTGAACAGTGGCTGCTAACTCCAAATCATGAACTGGATAATTCTTCTCATGAATCTTCAACTGTCACGAAGCACAAACAATGACCTTGCCATCTTGCATCAACACTACACCAAGTCCAATACGAGATGCGTCACAATAAACTGTATATAGCCATGAACATGTGGGCAAAACCAACACTGGCACCGTAGTCAAAGCTGTCTTGAGCTTCTGAAAGCTCGCCTCACACTCGTCCTACCACCTGAACTGGGCACCCTTCTGGGTCAACCTGGTTATCGGGGCTGCAATAGATGAAAACCCCTCCACAAACCGACGTTAGTAACCCGCTAAACCCAAGAAACTCCGGATCCCTGTAGCTGATGTGGGTCGAGTCCAGTTCTAGACTGCCTCTATCTTCTTCGGATCCACCTAAATACCCTCTGCTGATACAACGTGGCCCAAGAATGCAACTAAACTCAACCAAAACTCGCACTTCGAAAACTTAGCGTATAACTGACTATCCCTCAGAGTCTGAAGAACGACTCGAAGATGCTGCTCGTGCTCTTCCCGACTGTGGGAATAGATCAAAATATCGTCAATGAAGACAATCACGAAGGAATCCAAATAAGGCCTGAACACTCGGTTCATCAAATCTATTAAAGCTGCTGGGGCATTTGTCAACCCGAATGACATCACCAAGAACTCATAATGCCCGTACCGAGTGCGGAAAGCTGTCTTAGGGACATCGGATGCCCTAATCCTCAACTAATGGTAGCCAGATCTCAAGTCGATCTTAGAAAACACTTGGGCACCCTGAAGCTGGTCAAACAAATCATCGATCCTCGGCAATGGGTACTTATTCTTGATTGTGACCTTGTTCAATAGCCGGTAATATATACACATCCTCATCGATCCGTCCTTCTTTTAACAAACAACACCGGCGCACCCCAAGGCGAGACACTAGGCCTAATAAAGCCCTTATCAAGCAAGTCTTGCAACTACTCCTTCAATTCTTTCAACTCAGGCG